CCAGGACACCAGGATGGGGGGGGGAGAGAGAGAGAGAGAGAGAGAGAGTGAAACTCCCTTCCCTTTTCGAACAGCGCCTTGGGAGATACTAGGCGTCCGCCCGGGTTTAACATAACACACGGTACATCGCTGGCAGAGAGCGGTGTGAAGCCGGTCTACCTGACGGACAATAATACTATGTTTATAATCATTGCATCTCAATGGAGTTGTGAATGGATCGGGGCACTGAATGGTTGAATGAGGCATTGAACGTGGGATTTCACTGCGTAACTTGTCAATGTACTGATGCAGTCGCCGAATTTTTCTTCCACTGATTGTAAACTGTCTCACGGGCTTCCTTGGCCACTCGCTGGCTCGGAGCGCGGGGGGGGGGGGGGGGGGAGGCGGGGGTGGGTGAGGGGTGTGGAGCGGGAGGTGGGGCAGAGTGGAGGGGTTGGAGGGGTTGGGGGGTTAACTTGATCGCCCCCACTTTTAGACTGGTAAATCAGTGCTGTGCGTAGGCTATACATTTTTAGTCGTTCCCACTGCAACACAACTGTCTGCCACCCTGAATAACCACAACGGATCTCATTAGCTGGTGCCCTTCACGTCAGGAGGACGGTCCCAAGTCGCTGGACAGTCGAGGGTTTGCAACCGAGCTGGGGGTTGGATTTGGGAGGGGTGGGGACCAAAGGGTTGGGGGGGGGGGGAGATGACCAAAGGCACTCAGTCAAAGAGGAAAATCTTGAGACTCACCTTCAAGGTGTGTATCTGCTCTATGTCTCTCTGTGCCTCTCTTTGTCTCTGTCTGTCTGTCTGTCTGTCTGTCCGGTTGTCTGTCTGTCTGTCTGTCTGTCTGTCTGTCTATGTGTCAGTATGTGTGTGTGTGTCTCAATCTGCCTGTACCTGTGTGTCTGTGTCTCTTAGTCTACCTGTATCTGTCTGTCTGTCTCAGTCTGTTCTGATCTGTCTGTATCTCCCTGTCTGTCTGTCTATGTTCTGTCTGTGTCAATCTGTCTGTATCTCCCCCTTCCTCCAACCCCCCCCCCCCCAGCTCTGGTGCAAAACCCTTCACTGTCCAGCGCCTTTGGACGTCCTCCCAACGTGAAAGACGCCGTGTAAATGCAATTTGTTGTTGTTTTCTATCTCTGTCTGTATTCCTGTACCTGTCTCAGTTTGCCTGTGGCTCAGGGGTTAGAGCACTCGCCTCGCAGGCGAGAGACCTGGGTTTGCACACACCGCCTCTGTGTCACCAGCAGTAAGTGTGAGTGGATTGGTGGATCGCTTTTCCGGGGGTAACAATCCCTTCAAAATAATTCAGAATAATTTGGTCACTTCAAACCACGACTGTTTGTGGGGACGCTGCTGTGCCAATTGGCCGCCGCGATTCACCCACAAAACATAAGGTCCAGGAGGAGGCCATTCAGCCCTTCGAGCTTGTTCTGCCAGTCGATTACATCCAAGCTAATCGCTACCACAGGTATTATCTGTCGGTTTGCCCGTACCTGTCTCTCTCTGTCTATAATGGAGAGAGTTGAGATTGGATATCTCCGAGTTGACGTGAGTTGATAGAAACAAAGTTAATGGATTTTCACGGGCTTTGGGTCGCAGGAACAACCTTCTTGAGTACCTTTCACGTCAAGTAAATGTGCGAAAGTGCTTCATAGAGATAATGGGGATTATGAAGCGGGGAGGAAAGCAAAGACAATTTAAAGGTGTTTAACCCAAAGCAATGTCAAAAGAATAATAATAATAATAATAATCCTTGCAGTTGATATAACGCCTTATCCACGCCTTGGAGGCGTCTCAAAGCGCTTCACAGGATATGCTGTAAAGTGGAGTGACTTTACATTTTGTGGGAGAAATGCAATATAATATCATATAATAGGATTTACAATTTGCATTTACGCAAGTGCCTTTTCACGTCAGGAGGACGTGCCAAAGGGGTGCAAGGTGACTTTGCTTGTTCCTTCTCCCTGGAGGGACTGCACTCTGCCTACCTAACTCTAGGCGTAGGTTGGCGAGAGGAACAATAGGAACAGGAGGAGGCCATTCAGCCCTTCGAGCCCTGTTCCGCCATTCAATTAGATCATGGCTGATCTGTCCCTGCCAATTCCAATTCCCCACTTTCTCCCCTTAATACCCTGACCTACCAACAATCTATCAACCTCACTCCTGAAGGCGTGGATGGATCCAATATCCACGGCCTTTTGGGGGAGAGAATTCCAGATTTCTACCCCACTTCGAGAGAAAAAAATGCTCCCGATTTCATTCTTAAATGGCCTATTCCCCCTCGTTTTGGATTCCCCCACCGGAGGCCATAGCTTCTCTGTATCTACCCGATCAAATCCCTTTATCATCTTGAACACCTCAATCGAATCTCCCCTCAACCTTCCAGACTCAAGGGAATACAATCCAAGTTTACGCCGCCTTTCCTCGTAACTTAACCCTTCGAAGCCTGGTAACATTCTGGTGAACCTGCGCTGCTCCCCCTCCAGGGCCAGTATATCTTTCCTGAGGTGTGGTGCCCCAAACTGAACACAGTGAGAGCTGAGGCTTGAGGGGAGCACAGAGAGTGTACATTGGTGTAACTGCTGGTGTCTAGCCAACAGTTGGGTTAAGGCTCCCGGCCAATGCAACGAGAAGGAGCCCTTCCAAGGCTGAGTATGAAATGACAGCCGGTGCACCTCGTTACCAGCCAACACCTGCGCTCACGGGGAGACTTCAGAAGGTCTAAATGGAAGTCAAAGGGACAGGACAACTCGGTTATTGCCAGATAATAAAAGGATAAAAGGCAAGGAAATTAGAGGCGCCTGACAGATTCAGTCAAGGTTTGACCAGCTATGCCTCACCTGCCCCCCGACACCATCTGTGCCCCAACAGGAGTAATCCGCGCATCACGTCGCAGTCTCCTCACACAGTAAATTGTCTCAGAGAAGGTTTCACAGACACTGCTTATATTTTCGGTCAGCCAGCCCGGTGTCTGACACACGCGGAAACCCGTCACCGTCGCTAAAGAGTCCCCAACTGAGAATTCCAGACCTCCCAACGACACGTGGGAATCGCAGAGATAGATTGTTGGAATGGAATACACTCTCTCTCTATCTCTCTATCACTCTCTCTCTCTCTCTCCCCGGAAGCGAGAGACCTGGGTTTGATTCCCGGGCAGGGCGAAACGTTGAGTTTACTCCGCACTAAGTTTCCTCACTCCACACACACACACACACACACACACACACGCGCCTCTGTTTACCGGCAGTCAGTAGGAACCCGGTTGTTGGTCCATTGGCGGATCGCTATTCCGGGGGAAATAATCCCATCAAAAATAAAATAATAAATTGGTCACTTCAATCCACGACTACTTCCGGGGGTAATAGTACCCCAAAAAAAATTGGTGCCCCAATCCACAACTGTTTGTGGGACGTTGCTGTGCGCAATTGTCTACCCCGGTTTGCCCAGAAAATACACTTTACAGTGCGTCCTGTGAAGCGCTTTGAGACGTCTGAAGGACGTGGTAAGGCGCTGTATCAAACGCTAGGATGGTTATAATCATCGACCGATCTCTCCCCCAGACAGTGAGGGGGACAACTAAACGAGGCACCATTAGTGGTTTGAACGGAGGAGTGAGTACTGGTTATTTTGTTGTGTCTCTCGTCGCTCGTGATTTCTTGAGATCGGTTTCGGGGCCAAAAGAAAATTGCTCCTTTGACCCAACAACTGGTGGGAAGGAATCCCAAATGCTCTGAGGTGGACAGTGTTCTGTTGGGGACCCGGGGGCAAAGGCGGGGAATCGGAGTTGAGGTGCAGTTCCTCCCGTGTTCTCGTAGAATGGTGGGGCCGGGCTCGGGGGGGGCTCGATCCTCCCGTCCCTGTCCGCGTTACGGTCCTACGGCGTCCTGAGGGGTAGTCGCTGACTGCAGGTTCCTGGGGGTAGAATTCACTGCATTGCTGTGCGAGCGAGGCATCATATCAGATGAGTCACGTCGTCAAAAGAAATATGTAGCGCGACTGCCATTTATGAATGAATTCGGAGAGACCACCCTCTTTTTTTCCTACGCTTCCTCGGGACGTCCTCCTGACGTGAAAGGCGCTTTATAAATGGAATCTTGTTGTTGTTGTTGTTGTTGTTCCTCTCTCTCTCCCTCTCCCTCGCTCTCTCTCTCTCTCTCACTCAATCACTCTCTCTCTCTCTCCCCCCCCACCACCCCACTCACCCTCCCTCCCTCCCTCCCTCACCCCCACTCTCTCCCTCTCCCTCGCTCTCTCTCTCTCTCACTCAATCACTCTCTCTCTCCCCCCCCCACCACCCCCCACTCACCCTCCCTCCCTCACCCCCTCTCTCTCCTTCTCCCTCGCTCTCTCTCTCTCTCTCACTCAATCACTCTCTCTCTCCCCCCCACCACCCCCCACTCTCCCTCCCCCCCTCTCTCTCTCTCCCTCCCTCTCTCTCTCTCGCTCGCTCGGTATTGATTGCTGATAGTTAGGATTCCACAGACCTGTGGTGCGTTCTACAGTCTCGACCTCGTGCTGTAACCCACGGCTGTAAGAGAGAGGGGGGGAAAAAAAGGGATAAAGTGGATTTATTTGCAGTGAGTTTTTTTGGGCAGTATTTGCAATGTGAATGCGCCACCGTTTTCACTCACTCGCATTAAAATTCACCTGAAAAATAACATTGCTGTCTCTCGAGTATGTTTTTTTTCCCCCCGTCGGGTGGTAAATTCCCTTCTCTTTTCAGCCTGTTTTTGTTGCACTGTTATCATTCTTCGCGCCACCGCTATTCCTCCCTCTATTCATTTTTCTTCTCTCTCTCTCTCTCTCTCTCTCTCTCGCTTCTCTCTTTCAGCCGCAGTCACCGCCTGCCCTGAAGATGAATCGTCGCTGAAGTCAAACAAACCCCCATTTTCCTTCTTCAAGGCGTCCGAGGAAAATAGCCATCTTCTCCCAACCGCCCCCCACCCTCCCTCCCTCTCTCTCTCTCTAGCTCTCTTGCCTTACTCCATACCCCTCTCCTCCCCTCGCCCCCTCCTTCCCCCAACCCCAACCCCACCTCACGAATAAACGTGACTCCCAGCCCGCCCGCTCCCCCCCCAACCCCCTGAAAAGAAATGTGATTTTCGTTCGTGATTTGATGCGTCGAGGAATCATTCCAACATGAAGCTCCTGCTGCTCACAGCCGCCCTCCTCCCACTGGTAAGGCAGACACCAACACAGCTGATTGCTCCGAGCGTGACCGATGTAGTATAATTAATGCTAATTCTGTATCCTTCAGCAAAGCGCAGAGAGAGGGAGAGGGAGAGGGAGAGGGAGAGGGGGAGAGAAGGGGGTGCGTGTACAGCCTGTGGGGTGGTAAGTGATTGCAGTGGGCGATGAAGGTGGCGGGAATCCTGCGTTTGAATCATAATAATCCTTGCACTTCATATAGCGTCTCACCACTCCGTCCAGACCCTGTTGTTAGCCGGTTGGCGGCTCGCTTTTCCGGGGGTAATAATCCATCATCACCCCCCCCACCCCACCCCCCCACCCCCACCCCCACCAAAATGTGGTCACTCAGTCCCTGACTGCCGCGTGCAGATGGCTCCCGCGTTGCGCCCACGAGATCCGCTTCCGCGCTGCATCCCGTGAAGCGCTTTGAGACGCCTCGGCGACGCGACAAGGCGCTGTCAGGTCAGTCGCCAGGATTATTATTATTATTATTATTATTAACTATGGAGGAGTGCGAGGGTGGCTGACTCCCGCGGTGAGAAGATACGACCTCATTCGGTTGCTTCTCCCTCTGATCTCCTGGAATTCCTGGAACTACAAAACCACCGGATCCTCATAGCGAGTTCCTGGACACATCCCCATTCTGCAATTTACACAATGTCATTGAAAAGTCTTTTGAAATCACTTCCTTCCTCCCGTCTCCTCCGGATAATAATAATAATAATAGTAATAATAGTAATAATAATAATAACACTGGCTTGGATATCGCACCTTGTCATGACAGCGAAATGGCCCAAAGTGCTTCCCAGAAGTAATAATAATAATATTAATAATCCTCGCATTTGATATAGCGCTTTTCACGTCTTCTCGACGTCCCAAAGCGCTTCACAGAACACACTGTAAAGTGAATTGACTGTATATTTGTGGGCGAACGCGGCAGCCAATTGCGCACAGCAATGTCACACAAACAGTCGTGGATTGAAAATGACCAATTTATTATTGTTTTGGGTTTTCTGAGGGATTATTATTAGAAGTGTGCGGTGACTGTGTATATTAACATACGCTCGGCAGCTAATTGCACACGGCAGTGACCCCACAAAAAGTGGTGGATTGAGGGGACCAAATTCGTTTGGGGGCGGTGGGGGTGGGGGGTGGAAATGGAGATTATTACCCCCAGAAAGTGATCCGCCAATCGACTAACAACCGGGTTCCTACTGACTGCCGGTAAACAGAGGCGCGTGTGTGTGTGCGTGTGTGTGTGTGTGTGTGGAGTGAGGAAACTTGCCCAACCTTTCGCCCTGACCTGCCCGGGGAATCGAACCCGGGGTCCTCTCGCTTGCGAGGCGAGGGCTCTAACCCCCGAGCTCCAGGGGACCCCACACAGTAAGCCGACCAGCGGATGTTCACAAACGACGTGAGTCATCGTTAAACGCTTTACGGGAAGCCTTTATTTTGTTTTTAATACACAATCCGACCAAATCGTTTCCAGATTGTTTGCAGGAGCAGAAGCGGTCACATCGCACGTCGATGCAAAATCCACGGCTTCTGGGGGGTTTGTTTTTTTCCCCCTTCTGACGCGAAACAGCAACCAACCGCGCCGCGGCTTAGTAATCCTCCAAACCGGGCTGAGAACTCCGTGAATCCCAACTACACGTGGAAATTCCCACGTCTGCAACGGAATGAGCGCTCTCTCTCTCTCTCTCTCTCTCTCTCTCTCGCTCTCTCTCTCTCCCACAAACAGCCGTTGAGTGAATGTCCGATGTTATTGGGGGGGGAGGGGGGGGGATTGTAAAACTGGATGGATTCCTGGAAGCGGAGGTTTAAGTGCAGATTGGGATTATTTTGAGTTGGGTCAATGCCTTTGGGGAATGGGGGGAGGTGGGGGGGTGGGGGGTGGTGTGTGGCCCCCTGTACATTATCTCCTGCTGTGTAAGGGAGCAATTACTTGAAACAACAACACATCTCGGAGCGCTTAACGCTGGAGGAACACGACACAGGGGTCGGGGGGGAGCGGGGGGAGGCGGAGGTGGCTGTAGCCACGGTTGAAGAAGGGGAGGGTCTTGAGGAAGGGGGTAGAGGCAGAGAGATCGAGGGAGAGAGTCGCATAGTTCCCGGGCGCAGTGGCTGAAAGCCGATGGTGGAGCGGAGGAGGGGACGAGGGACAAGCAGGAGGCCAGAGCCGGCCGAGCGGAGGTGGGGGCAGGTGGAGTAAGCAGGTCGGAGAGGTAGGGAGGTGCCATAATAACTATAAGAGATCATTATTTGGGGAGGACAAGTTTGCAGAGTTATGGGGGGAAGAGAGCGGGGGAGTGGGGTTGATCAGGGCTATGGGGAGAGAGCGGGGGAGTGGGGTTGATCAGGGCTATGGAGAGAGCGCGGGGGGAGTGGGGTTGATCAGGGCTGTGGGGAGAGCGCGGGGGGAGTGGGGTTGATCAGGGCTGTGGGGGAGGGGGGGGGGATGGGTTGATGCAGGGCTGTGGGGGGGGGTGGGGTTGATGGGTCACTCGCGTACCGTCGCCATCGTAATTCACCTAAGGTACCAATTGGAGGGTCCGTCGGTGTGTAAAC